GGATTCGTGTTTTTTTCCAGCTAGGCCAGAAACTTAGATATTTGTTGTTTTTTTTGCTTTGTGTGGGCTTTGTGTTGCGATCCCATACCACTCCCTTATAAATAATAAACATAAGTGTACATACACACACACACACACACACATATATATATATATATATATATATATATATATATATATATATATATATAGGCTGACTCAGAAAACACGGCCAGTACTCACTTTATTCATAAACCCGGCAAAATGCTTTCTCTGCACGTAACGGGCGACAGTTCCATCGCACTGACATCACCACCAGAGTATACAAAAATGTGTGACCTCATGTGTGAAGGTCTGCTTGACGCACCATTGTCACCTTTCGACATGAAATAGTTCGCTGATGTCTTAAAAGGTTGCACCGGGAAAAACATTGTTTTCCCCGTTAGGCATGCACAAATGCGCTTCATATTTTGTTCGTGCATTACCTATTTTGTTTTCAGCAGTACTGGTTCCATAAAGGTAAACACGATTGGGCGATATTTTCCTTATCGCAGCAGGCCATAGTGTTACTGTGGAAAACGAAGCAGACTAATAGGTCAACTTTAACGTGTTCGTGATTTGCTGAGCTTGAAAGTAGTGGAAAACCCAAATTCATTTGCTTGACCACTGGACAATAGCCATGTCCATTAAGATTGAAGCCATCTTAAAATAGGAAAATATACACTTTTGCATGTTTCGGAGCAACATTCAACTCCGCACCCTACCGATTTCATTTGGCTATCATTCTGGCGTTTTTTTTTTAGCCCGCTCAGGCCTCCGCGAAACGCTTTTCACCTGCTAATTGCAATATACAATATATACCAGATACTGGTAATAAAATAACAATCAATATTAAAACCAAATTATTTGAAACCTTAATAACAATGCCCATAAACTCCTTACGTCGTGGCATTCTACGGGGCGTATAATTTTGTTGGTTGAAATATGCCGTCCCATGACAGTAATCAATCGCAGCGACCAAAGCCATCTCGCATACCACGGCTGGAGCGAAGCACCAAAGATGGAGTCCGTGAGTCCAGGGCTTGTCCTACTGCGTGTTCAACGATGCCCAAAGGAACACGCGAGCTTACCATCGATTCGAGTGTCCAAAGCCGAGCAGGAAATAGAAACCCGGTTTCGTAAGGATAAACCCGCAACCGCTGGCAGACGTAGTCAGAAGGCGCGGTAGATCCCTGGTCATAAAATATAACGAATGGGATTTAAACGTTCTTCAAATTCTGGCATGCAGTCAAGCGTCAAAAGTTTTATGCGACAATGAAGCTTGAAAGACACGTTTAAGTCCATAATAGCGTTTAGTTCAATAGTCAGTTATTCGTTTCAAAGCAGATATGAGAAGATGCACGATTCCCCCATAAGCATGCGCCTAGTGAGATTGTGAAGAATTGAACTACACTATTGGCGCGGACCTCTATAAATATCATGGACACAAAGACATTTTATAACATACATTTTTGCTGCTTTTGTTTTCGAGACGGTTTTCGTTCGCCTTACATCTAGGGGAGGGGTAAACAACTAAGGTCAAGCCCCATGAAACATACATCCACTACATGCGATTTGTGAATTGCACGTTGAGAACATCAGAAATAAGTTTTCACCGTTAGCATGTATTACTTGCTGGATCACGCCCGGACACATTGCACGAATACGACGCGGATAACGAAAAAACTTCGTGCGTCCAAAATGCGTGCTGGTACGTGTTGAAGCAAACGAAAAAAATAATAAGCGAGTCATTTTGCACAAGGTTCTGATTGTGTCTGAGTCGAGGCTCATTGTGACGACCCACGAGCTTTTCCGGGCGATGCAGTTTCAGGTCAGGCCTGTCCTACCAGCCGGCCCATGAAGGCCGTCCCGAAGCAGGAGCGGCTGTGGCGCGCATTTGCTGTCCTGGGTCTTTCTGCCTTGGTGTTGATGAATCTTGACTGCCTACCGCTTGATTGCCTAGACACATTTGGCTGCGACTTCCCCTTGTTTCGGTCTCCCGCCATGTTATGGCCGTCTCTAAAACCTTGGACCTTGAACGTGGTTACCAGCCATGTCAAGCCACATGGACCATTCAGCCATTTCGTCAACATTGTTTTTTAACCGCTTTTTTCTTTTCCTACATGCTGAATTTTATTTCAAAGCCAAACAAGTGGGAAGGGGGAGAGGGGCAGTACGGGGCCTCTAAGCCTATAAGCCAGAAGCCTCTAGGTGGAGTGGAGCGGTTTTGACGAAATTGATCATACTTCTACTAATGGTCCGCGCTGTTTTGTCAGGACAGTTTAAGGGGAACGACATCGTTGCATATAGAGGTAAGAAGAAATAATTACCCTGTTTCGGTTTGCTTTGCAGTGTTGTGGGTCTGTTTGTCGTGCAAGCCCCTTGAAAAATATTAACTCACCACTTCAATAACCTTGATCTTGTTCTACCCCTCAAAGTCCGTCCCGGTAGCTCGGTTGGTTAGAGCGCCTGCCTTCCGATGCACCCACCCGTGGCGGGGTGGGTTCGAGTCGCTTTAGGGCGCTCGCTATTTGCCCTTGACAGGTATGGCCTGCGGCCTGCGGCAGCGGTCGCGCTAAAGGTCAGTTGACGTCAGAGGGCAGGACGGACCGTGCCGAGCATTGCGGCACGTTAATCTTTCGCCACAAAATTCTGCCGTTGACATGGAATTGCGCGATCGGATGGTAGGGGTCAGGGCTCACACAACAAGCACTGCTTAGCGTGAGCTCTGATCCCTGAAATCCATCCATTCAAAGGGTTCGGATCAAATCTTTAAAAAAAAATTAAAAAGTACTTCTGCACTTATTGTCGATGGTACTAATGTAGTGCAAGTTTACACCGAGCTGTCCGATCTATGCGATGCTACTCTACACTTGACTAGAATATTTAGCCTCCATGATTGTGAGGTCCATACTGTTTAAGTGACACCAAGAATCAATTTACTAGTTGAATACTTACAAATAATTTAACTCAGAATCGATGCCTTGTTGACTGCTTTTCAATTGCATTGATTAAATTTGTTCCGAACTCACGATAACACCGGTAATGTGCAGCTCACATCACAACGCACATAACAGCTCACATCACGGCTAATACCACAGCTCACATCACAGCTCACATCACAGGTCACATCACAGGTCGCACCACGGCTAATACCACAGCTCACATCACGGCTAATACCACAGCTCACATCACAGCTCACATCACAGCTCACATCATGGCTAAATACCACAGCTCACATCACAGCTCACATCACATCACATCTCATCCACAGCTCACATCACAGCTCACATCACGGCTACATCACAGCTCACACCACAGCTCACAATCACAGCTCACATCACCGCTCACATCACACTCACATCACAGGTCAATCACAGCACTGCCTAGGGTCAAAAGGGCTGGTCTTGTGAATGGCTGGCAAGGATGGAGCATACCAAAATCTGCGCTCACATGCGTCGGTTAAGTTGATAAATGTTTGGTATTCCTGCTATGGTCAGCCGGCAGTGAGCATGCCCGCCAGTGTAGTGGGTGGTGGCCGGTGCCGCTGTCTGCGCCGCTACCCGTGGGTGGCGCCCGCTCATCACTACCCTCCTGTACTAATCTGTTTCTACATACTTCGTTAGTGCCATAATAAACCGCATCACGCGGGCATTGACCTTGTTATGTTCTCTCTCTCTCTATCTCTCCTCCTCTCCCCTTCTCTCTCTCTTCTCTCTCTCTCTCTCCTCTCTCTCTATCTCTCTCTCTCTCTCTCTCTCTCTCTATATCTCTCGCTCTCCTCTCTCTCTCTCTCTCCGGCTGTCGTAAGAAAACAGGCCGCTGTCGACTACCAATGAAGCGTTTAGTCGTCGTCGCTTTACAAAACGTCCTGGTGGCAACAGAGCCCCCATCAGCCTTCGCTATTCCCCTCAGCACTTGGACTGCCTGGATGACTGGTAATCGGTAACAGCACCTCCGAACCAAAGTGCGTGAGTTTCCTACATTGGAATCACGCCCAATCGGACGCTAAATAACGTCGATGGTCGCTCTGCATCTATTCGTCGCACACAATGCGCTGTCCATACCGCACTTTGACAGCTTTGTGCGTATAGTGGATGTGCTTGCCGTGCTTGCACTCGAGGAACAATGGTAGGGATAATCCCAGCATTCAGATCGGATAAATCGCCGTTCTACGTTCGAATGCCGGCACCCAGGCGTCTGTCAGAATTAGGCCGCCCCTCATTTTTAAAGATAATCACGCATGACGAGACTTGCAGGCTGGAGAGACGGACTGGCCTCTGCCGCATTCCGACCAGACTGGAGCGACAAACTGGCATTTGCTGCATGAGGACCAGACTGGAGCGACAGGCTGACCTCTGACGCATGCGGACCAGACTGGAGCGACAGACTGACCTCTGCCGCATTTCGACCAGACTGGAGAGACAAACTGACCTTTGTTGCATGCGGACCAGACTGAAGCGACAGGCTTGATCTCTGATGCATGCGGACCAGGACTGAGGCGACAGGCTGACCTCTAATGCATGCGGACCAGACTGGAGCGACAGGCTGACCTCTGCTGCATGCGGACCAGACTGGAGCGACAAGCTGGCCTCTGCTGCATGCTGACCAGACTGAAGCGACAAACTGACCTCTGCTGCATTCCGACCAGACTGGAGCGACAGACTGACCTCTGCTGCATGCGAACCAGACTGGAGCGACAAACTGGCCTTTGTTGCATGCGGACCAGACTGGAGCGACAGGCCGACCTCTGATGCATGCGGACCAGACTGGAGCGACAGGCTGATCTCTGCTGCATGCGGACCAGACTGAGCGACAGACTGACCCTCTGCTGCATGCGGACCAGGACTGAGCGACAGACTGACCTCTGCTGCATGCGGACCAGACTGGAGCGACAGGCTGACCTCTGCTGCATTCCGACCAGACTGGAGCGACAGACTGATCTTTGTTGCATGCGGACCAGACTGGAGCGACAGACTGACCTTTGTTGCATGCGGACCAGACTGTCGACGCAGTCTTTCAGCTGGCCGATCTTGGCGTCGAGCTCGGCCGCCTCGCGCTGCAGGCCGCCGTACCGCGTGCGTTAGCGAGAGCGACGCCAGGCGGTCCAGCACAAGCTCGTTCTGTAGCTGGGTCACGGCCACCGCCCCGTCCTGCGGCACAGGTCATCAGTCATGCACTGACCGGGGGGGAATCTGCGGATTCCGTCACTGCCCCGCGTTCAGAGAAGAAGTCGCACCAAGGATGGGATAATTGTTCGGACTTTCCTTCTCGTCTGGCGTGTTTATAGGTACAGAGCGCAAACACCCAAGGTGATGCTATCAATTTTAACAGTGTTTAGGTTATAGTTATAGTGTCACTATGCTTTTATTAGTATAGCAGTACTATACTGTAACGAAATGCGAAAGCCGTTATATCTTTATGTTGTGTTTATAATTTGTTAACTTCCGTCCTTTGGCATGTCTTAGGACAGAAAAGCCGCTTCTTAGAATCACAGAGTTCCGCTCATTCTAGGAAATGTTCGCCGTGTCCCGGTAGCTCAGCTGATTGGCGCGTTCGTCTGCAGATTCCCCTTTCCCCCATGATGGGGTGAGGTTGCGTTCTCTTCAAGCGCTCGCAGTTTGCCCCCGTCTGATTGAACTGCGACCGGTGGCGGCGACCGAGCCGTTAAGGTCAGACGATGTTAGAGGGTAAGACAGACCGTGCCGAGAGTCAAGGTATGTGAAACTTCCGCACCAAAATTTTGCCGTTGACTTGAAATTTCACGATCACATGGTAGAGCTGAGACGCACGCAGCAAGACTTACTAAACGTGTGGCCTGGTCCAAGCGATCGTTTAATGAAAAGTTTCAAATAGCTTAAACGAGCATGCAAAATTTAAATTCAACATTCAAAGCTGTTATCCGCTTATGGTGATCCAGTCTCATGAACACAGGACACATAAAAACTTCGTGTTGGCGAGGCTGTAGGATAATTCAGACCAGTCCGACTGTGGCAAGCTCAACTGCGTGACCCCTCCAAAGCAGTCGATTGGAACTTGATCTGGTAATCCATAGCGCTGACGTTTCATTTTTATTCAAGGATAGTGAGGATGCCTCTCTGTATTGATCTAGGCCTTCGAGGTAGCCTGGAGTGATGAATGCCGGGGATCCTAGGCCAGCGCCACACCAGCTGCTTTAAAACGATTATTTGTATCTACCTCTGAGAAAAATCCTGGTCATGTTGTCTACATGCATGGCTTTGGACAGTACAGATATTTCAAATGGTAGTTGTACCATGGTATCAGTACTTTGGTGCTAGCGTCTACGCCTTGAAGATATCTCAGTAGAAGGAACATCTTTGCTACAGCCTTAGCGGAACAGATATGCAACGGATGAAAATCGGACGAACAGGCGTGGTATTTGTGGCTTTCGTTCGAATTTGCAAAACCTTGTATCACTTTTGCACACCTTCAGATTCGCGTCAACTGAAATTGGTCCGAACAAGCAGCGTTCGGCCATACACACAATGGAACATCAACGCATGGACCACTGATATAACACATGTATGAATTCACCAGTCCAGGATGAAACCAGTCAAGATACGACTGATTTTTGTGAAGGTGAAACATAAAAAGTAGCATTCCGTTTTATACGGTTCTGTGCGCATGTACACAGAAGACTACATCCCTTACAAATAAAATGAGCAGCGGAGATGAATGCCATAAAAATTAAATGCTCAACTGCGTGTGGTTTGGCCAATTACAATGTAACGTCCTGCAGAACTGGACTCCTGATGATCTCCTTCAAAAATCATCATACTTTTAACACGCATAAAAATCACGCAGTTGGACGCGTCGACGTTCATAACCGGCGTTGTCCTGCTTTGCAGTGACAACCCGGCGGAAGTCTTATCATAACATCTGACCACGACTCCCCAGGTGAACTGAAGTCGCCGTGCGCCGCCGCTTGCAAGCCATGTCGACTCGTTCTCGATACGCTAGGCGACCTGGCAACTCGCAAGAATCTCAAGCTTCCGCCCACCGAAGTTTGGCTTGCTCATCAACCTGAGCTCTCCAAACGGGACGCGCCGCTAAGCACGAGGCATCCAGTGTCTCCTAAATCATGGGAGTCAGCGTCTTCAGCCAGATCAGGAGATCGATAGGGACCTTTTACTCCCCGCCAGGAACACCGAATCGGACGTCTCGCGCCTGGAATCGGGCCAGACAACACGACCGCTCCGCTCTGTACATGGCAAACTACCCCCCGTGCTAATGAAATAATCCCGCAGCTACAGACGCGGCGAGAGCGCTGCCAACAGCATGCACCTAGCGCCACCTATACCATTGCGGTACGCCAATCGACCTCGCAGGTGCTGCCATCTGCCCTCTGATTGGTCGCTGAGCAATGGCTCACCTGCGTAGCTGCCAGTTTCGGGTCAGCCGGCGGCTTGGGCGGCAGAAAGGCTGCGACGGCGGGCCGGCCGACCGAGGCCGACGTCCATTCGGGCAGTGTCTCGGCGTGACGCACCAGTGACGTCACGTCGGCCCGCCCGCTGACGCCACGGCACAGCGAGCAGAGCGACTCATACCGCCGGCTCCGCTCCACCGTCTGCAGGGTAGGAGGCGAAGTCACCGCGCTGAAGCCAAAATTCAGTCACTGTGACTTGTATCACCGACTCCTCGCCATCGGCTGTGAACACTGGCTCGCAAGTATATGACACTAGTAGCTCATTCAGTGACCAGAAAGCCTCGTATTGTCGCCGTCGTCATTTGACCGTCTGTCCAAGTGGAAGTGTACGCGGTGTCGTCAGGCCTTAGAGCACACCATCGAACGGCCGATTGCCACCAGAGACTCTGCCTCACTGCAACCTAATGATTACTTTCGATTGTGATGTCGCTTGATGGTCTTGCTTCCTTCGTTTTTCCGGCAACGGACAGCAAAATGATATTTTTATGTCATGTTGCATTGTGGCATAAGTGTGCGGGACAGTGCGTGGTGAGAACAAAGTAAAAGTTGTACAGAGATCGCAGTTAAAAATGCACACCATCTTACAATTGCGTGCAGTCCATTAGATCAGTTTCAGATCTCACTCAGATAACACTTGTCTCATAGCGCCTCTAAAGGTTGTTGAGTTCATCATTGACACCGGTTAATACCTACATACTGTTGTCTCACAACACATTCAGAACGAAAGCTGAAACATAAAGCCGAAGATATCATTGATAGATCGCCAAATAAACGCTTCAAAAAATTCACTGTTTGCACAACCAGACACAAGTTTTGAAGAATGCTGCAAGCCTACGGGCCATCGGAACTCACTTCTGTTAAATTTCATGTCATCTGATTATGGGCTCACTTCACGCATCCAGATGACAAAGAAGCGGTTCTCAAATTTGTAAGCCGTTTGTGAAAACAGCCCAAAACAGAATAGGTTAAATAGATGCCGGGCCAACTCCGAACCGATCCATTTTCCGCTGACATGTTTGGAACTTTGCTGTATCGTGGCGAAACACTTAGCTCCTTAAGAGACCACCGGCCTATTTTAGAAGCGGCATCCATTACAGCGTGACGATAAACAGTGCGTTATCAGCAGCTTGATCTGAGCGAGCCCTTATCCACATCCCAACCGCCTACAGTGCTCTTGGGGATGTTTTAGAAGACCGGTCATGTGAAAATGCAAATGCTGTTTGATTTTCATGGCTCCGATTGTAGCGCACGTTTCCCGCTTGTATCAAGAATGAATACAACTTAAAAGCAGAGCCTACGTAAATGGTAAGAGCGATGCGAATTTATTTACCTTACATGGTTGTGCAGTGAGGACAATGCATTACATGAACGACTCCAACGCACAGATCATCGTTTATCCTCAAGTCAAATCTGGTGCGGTGAGCGGAAATACTTCGTGGTGAAAACAGCTGTTTGTCGAGCGTGGCAAAGTTCGTATCTGACATCACATAATCCTAGTACCAAACATGGGAATAATGCCGGTTGTCACTCCCACCTATGATCAGTGTGGCATAACTTCATGGCAACGCATGACAATAATTGACTTCGAAAGTTAGTTTGCTGCCCTGACTTTTCGTAATATACCGAAATCTACGTTTAGGACATTTCCAGTACATAATCATAGGGTCTTGACAATTCGTTCATGGATATCATTCACTTTCCATGTTCACTTTTCCACGCTTCTACGTTTGCGAGGGTATAAAATTGCATCTTGTTTCAATATGTAGGTTTATCTTATTTTAGTGAAGTATGTACTTTACCGTTGAACAAATTTTGGTATCACTGGAACGATGAAATACACCAGTTACTTTCCCTGATTCACCGCGGCATTGTGAGATACCCCTTATCCGCCTTCGTACTGGTCTTTTTGCTGGCATCGCCGTGCGAGTTTGGCCGTCCGACTTCACCACCGCGAGCTCGCGCACGAGCACTCGCCCAACAGCACCACGGCTGTGCAGCTCGGGCAGATGTTCGGTGAAGCGTGTCGCCGACAAAGGGAGTCGGCCAACTCCGGCAGTCGACCGCGGGAAAGACGGCGCAAACAGAAGGCGCACCGAGCTCCCGCGGGGCCCGACTGGCCGGGGCCGGCCGGAATACAGCCACGTTTTCTTGCGCTATTGTTGGCAACAAGCCCCGCAGAACAGCAGGCGTCACGGGGCGAAAACGACGCTAGACGACGCGCGCACGCCGATTGACACGATTTCTTCTGCAAACATCTGAAACTGGCTGCCGTGGGTAGTGACTAGCACTGCCCGCAGAACATCCAGCCAGTACAGCGCAGACAACGGAAATCGTACGCAGCGTATCTCGTTCAGCGCGTGACGCATCGGGATAGCAATAGTGTTTTACATAACCTTGATTTGTTCCATTATGAAAGCGTCATTACCACATAAAAAACATCGAAATTGCATCCCAAATGAGCTTGAGGGATAGCGAAAACTCTAATCTGCCACATCCCATGTGGGTATAGCACACACTGATCAGGCATTATGGTATGCTTGCGAGTGCCTCAGTATGCCGACCGATGTACTGGCCTGAGGTCATGGTCGGCACGGAGAGGCGTGGTGCAAACGCTGCACTGCCTCCCGCCGGCACACGGTGATGATGCGACATCATACTGGGTTTCAGCTCATTTAGTTTCAGTTCAGCCGTGTTAGTAATCTTATACTCATAGCAACGAAACAAGTCTCATACCAACACGATGCAGATTATCTGCAAAATGATGATTCCGTGGCCGTCATTGCATTGACTTCTTTTACGTCTTTCGTTCAACAACGCCTTCCCGTGTCGCACTGCGCGGTGGCGCCGAGGCCCAGTGATCTGACTCCCGAAATTTAACTATATACAGAATATATACCAATTAGGTTATTGTCATATTTGCCATATTTGAATCAATTTATGACATAACATGATTGATTTACATGCAATACATGATTCCTATATAGCAGCAATTCATGATACTATATCCGAATCACGAAAGTGCCGATAGTGTATTGGTTAACGCATATGCGTTTATCATTGCGCGTCTGAGAAACCAGAGGTACGGGGTTCAACTCTCTGCGGTACCCACTCACTGCCGGGGTGAGATGCAGGCAGCGCCACATAGTCTCAGCAGCTGAGTGCGTCGAAAGCGCAGATGACATGCCACACTTGTTTCGTTATAATAATGATAAGATAACAAACACGTCTTTTACAATGCAAAATAATGCTCGGCAACGCACTTAACTACATACAATTCAGCTTAAATTTCCACATCTAACTTGCGAGTATCCACTTCCTAACATATCAGCTGGCTGACGTTAAAATCGTCCGCGAAGCTTTGCACGGAAAATACGGAAAAATGATGCCTCGCAACGCATGCTGAGCGTAATGAGTACCACATATTTTTCTCAGTGGTTCTGGAAAGTGGTTAAATTATGCATGCTATCAATTCTTTATGGTCTAAGGTCATTGTCATTTGAAGCCAAGGTAACATTGCGCTTGATCAAAAGAACCACTAAAAATCTGCCCTCAGCCCTACAAAAGCATAAACCAAACTTACAGAAAATTATAACAGATGATGTAAGATCTGAACCGTGTCAAGTTGGGTCAGGACATCAGACTGTCCAAAACATTGCTGGTGGACATTACACAGGGAAGTAGCATCATGGCGGACAAAAGTCCGCAAGTGCAAGTTCATCCGAAGTCGAGGCCATCAAGAGACGCAGAATGAGCTCAGGTCACCCCACGATGCCCCTTATAAACGTCTTAATATTTATTTAACCTTTGTTACAGTCAGACCTCTGATGTCAATACTACACGAGCAGTTTATAAAAATAAGTCAAATGCGCCGGCAATGAAAGGCTTTCTAGCCAATCATACTGCTGCTGATTATGTTTATGTTATTAGGTGCAGCTGGAGGACAAAAGTGTCCCATACAAAAACTGTAGCATTTTAGACTGACCTAAAGGTCAACTAAGGTCAACTTAGGCCACATTTAGAGTCATCCAAAAGAAAAGAAATGAAGTGCTAATTAGGTATAAGTGGCCAGCGCAATGCTACTCTGTGGTTAGAAAAAGTGTGTTGTACATCCGCATGTACTTAAGATTGCAGAGCTCTTGTAGTAGTTATACATGGTCCGCTCGACGCTTATCACTGCATTTGTAACAAATTAAGTACAGGTACGTTGGTACGTAAAATTATATGTCATCAGCTTTACAAACAAAATAAAAAGTCAACCACGAAGGTCACACTCGTTATCTAGCCTCTCCGTGACTGACAACACAGGTCATTGACCTTAGCTGACCTCAAATTATCTTGCATGTCCTCATCTGACCTATTGTGTCCATCCATAGAGAAAGGTCATGACCTAGGCCAATTTTAAGTGCTCTGTGATCATATGATGGCTGCGATGTGAGGTAGTACTCTTTTCCTTACAGTGTTGTGTGATCATATGATGGCTGCGATGTGAGGTAGTACTCTTTTCCTTACAGTGTTGTGTGATCATATGATGGCTGCGATGTGAGGGAGTACTCTTTTCCTTACAGTGTTGTGTGATCATATGATGGCTGCGATGTGAGGTAGTACTCTTTTCCTTACAGTGTTGTGTGATCATATGATGGCTGCGATGTGAGGTAGTACTCTTTTCCTTACAGTGTTGTGTGATCATATGATGGCTGCGATGTGAGGTAGTACTCTTTTCCTTACAGTGTTGTGTGATCATATGATGGCTGCGATGTGAGGTAGTACTCTTTTCCTTACAGTGTTGTGTGATCATATGATGGCTGCGATGTGAGGTAGTACTCTTTTCCTTACAGTGTTGTGTGATCATATGATGGCTGCGATGTGAGGTAGTACTCTTTTCCTTACAGTGTTGTGTGATCATATGATGGCTGCGATGTGAGGTAGTACTCTTTTCCTTACAGTGTTGTGTGATCATATGATGGCTGCGATGTGAGGTAGTACTCTTTTCCTTACAGTGTTGTGTGATCATATGATGGCTGCGATGTGAGGTAGTACTCTTTTCCTTACAGTGTTGTGTGATCATATGATGGCTGCGATGTGAGGTAGTACTCTTTTCCTTACATACGAACACCAAAAGTGCACAAAGAGCGTCACAATTTGCACTACTTACGAACGAATAGCAAAAAGGGAACTCCCTCAGGTCACCGACCTCGCCTGTTTCGAAAAAAAATATATTAGCAAATTGTGCGTACCTTCATGTTCTATTACTACAGCAAGTTTGAGAAATGGCAACTGAAGTTGAAAACGTTGTGCGTGGCCAATCCTTTCTAGAAATTTACCTCTTTGACCTTACCTTAGTCACAGACTTTCGCAGACCCAAATTTCACAAGGGATGCCAAATTGATCGATTAAGGGGTAGTGCAAGTTTAAAGCTGCTATAACGTTTTGGTTTTTTGGTTGTGCTCGAAAAAACCGATGGGGAAAGTGAACCTCTCGCCGGCCGGGCGCAGGCTACCCAATACAGCTCACATATTACCATCATTGCAATCCTCACTTCAACTTCGCATATTCCAAAGGCATGCCAGCTGTGAGAACTCAGCCAAGAACACGGAACTTGAAGCTATTGCGCTGCTTTACAGCTGAGGCACACGCATGCACTTCGGCTACATCACAGGTACGGGACAAGACTTGGCTGATATGACGTATAACATAATTACAACGGGTCGCCCCCTCGCAGAAGGGCTACGATGTCTTTCTTGACCACATTCGGGTCAACAACGGTGAGCGAAGATGTATCCTGATGTTATGGTGCTCGCTAGAACGCGGGATCAGTAGACTGCGACTGTTGTTTTGGTTAGCGGATTGGTGTCATGCCATGACCATTGACCTCGACTATGGCAATTGCATTGTTTTCAAATGATATTTCTTTACAGGTTTCGTGACCCGAGGTCATCTTACGTTATTAGATCACTTGTTCAAAATGGGATGAAAAGAAAACCATCACGCTGATAACATTTTACAATGGCCCTTTTCATCATGAAATGTAACGCGTGTGTTATTTGGGTGTGGATGTCAGAAGCTTTATTTAGGCGTGCCTGACATCGGAAAAATCTGAGAAAATCCTCGTTTCTCCAGTAGCTGTGGAACATCTTTGATAAAATCACTTCGAAACCTTTGTTATGATAGGCCTGACATCTTCGGAGGTGAACTCCAAGTTGACCTCCACTTCATTGACTTACTGCCGTCAAAATGCGTGAGAAAACTGACAGAATGGCTTACAATCTAACAACAAATTTGGGGAAACATAAATGTTCAGCAACTTATTTCTTACGTATTGTGTATTATGTGTGATGCGTGTAACAACTTATACAAGCTATGTAAGGACTACTATGTGGGACAACCATCTCAAACACCTTTGATTGATGGCGTCCAGGTCGTCACCAGGTCAATGGCTGGCCAGCTAAAAAAAGCAGCATGTACGCCTCGCAGCTGTTGGCGCGGTGCGTGCGGATGGGCTGGACGCTGGAGTCATACTCTTACCAGACTCGCAAATAGGGGTGCCCGCAGTGGGGCCGTGTAGTGGCCCGAGAGAATGCTGTGTCACGCCGTACAGCTCATAAATCCAGTCTCCCGATACGGCAGAGTGCGGCTACAACTCCAAACCACTGGCGGAGGCCGTACAGCTGATAAATCCTGTCCACGATACGGCAGAGTGTGGCTACAACTCCAAACCACTGGCGAAGGCCGTACAGCTCATAAATTCAGTCTCCCGATGCGGCAGAGTGCGGCTACAGGTCCAAACCACTGGCGGAAAAGTCCACTGTTGTACGCAGCTTGTGCGCATTCTGATTCAGCAGCAGCAATAACCGTTTCAGGTGTACTTTAAGGCTGCGTAGAAGCCTCTAAATCTTGAGATTTGGGGAGCACTTTTGGCGCAACTTTTTGCTATTCATAAATTGTTCAGTTATTAATTGTGTATCAATGTAAGAGTGTCAATGATGCTTCTAAACACAGTTCATTTGTTATGAAGAATAAGCTAATTGGTGTCCGTGGTAACTTACCACAATATGAAAAGACGGTGATCAATAGTGGAAATAGTCGCAATGACAGCACTCCTTCACTCCGTGTGGTATACTGGCTTCCGCGGGAACTATGCCTGGTATTCAGAGGCATCCCGAGAAGCGACCTAAACCAATTACAAAGCAAACGCCATTGCACGTTTTAGGGAATCTGTGCACAGCATTTGGTTAACAGATCACCATGACTTTGGACATTGGCAGAGCATTCGATGCCAGAAAACTGTACGCCTCACCGCGCATTCTGTGTAAAGACAACCAAGGAACACACAAAAACCAAGAACCGAAGAGCTGAAACATCCCACTGCACTTTCTGTGTAAACTATGAAAAACCCACGAAGGTTTGACCGAAGTATTAGAAAGTCTGCGTCCATTGCAGGCAATACGGACGGAGGTCTACTGGTGTACATTTCGTGCTGTGATTCTCGAAGCATTGCTTGGAAAATGGCCGAGACGAGCTTGGCCAGGGCTGGCAATTTTGATTGACAAAATCGAGGACTTTGCAATGCGTAACGGTTGTGACATTTGTGACTAAAGTGTCGAAAAACGCGAATGTTTTGCGTGGACATAGGTCGCAATAAACACAGCAGCACGCTTGTGTAGTTTCATGGCCCAATGCCTCTCGGTTTACTAAAAGACGCATTATATTGGAAATGCGTTTTGAAAAAGGTAAAATTGTCCGATTTTTGGCCTGGCGCACCATGGCCGTGCTCTGGCCAGGAAGTAGATGCGATTGGTACATTCGTCTTCCACCGTGCGGTTGGTTTCATGCCTTCACCGTTCCTTTGCTGAAGTATGATATGAATCATTAAAGACGCCTCCAAGTTGGCGAGTCGTTCGTAGAGCACGAGTGCGTGACCACCAGCGGCGCATCGACCCACGCCTTTGCCAACATGATTGGTGATTTTCTCCTTCACAAGGATCTCCTTCAAAAGTTCCTCAAGGGCTGCCGAACTGGTCCGTTGAGATCTGGATGTCTTTTGGTCCAAAGTCTTTCAGCTCCTAAGCAGCATATGCAAAATTGTGGCATTTTCCAATCGAGTTTAATCGAGTGGTGAGGTAGAATCGTAGGCATCTTACAATGTTGCACCAAAGCGCATATCCTAGCAGAAAGCTGGTTTGATAACTCCTTACCAATAATACAGGGTATAGTTTGTAGATTGGCTTTTTGTTTATGAACATGTGGTTAACCTGCAGTCAGGGGATGTATATGTGTACATATATATATATAATATATATATATAATATATATATATATATATGCATATATCAGGCCCCAGAAAGTGTGAAAATGTTCTAACGGTCGAAATAAGAATCACACGCCCTGCATCTTCACATGCAGGCATATGGCAAAGCGCTGCAGGAATAGGTAGGCGTGACATATGTGGATGCCAATCAATCATCAACATTGCATGTTCCACGTAAAAGTTCATCACGAACGTGACATCCCTCTAGAGAACACTGCTGCAGACATGGAGCAAGTTGGATCCTCATTGGAACAAGTTGGATCCTCATTAATGATAGGCGGACATGCTGGCGATCGGGGATTGGCTCCCCGTGAGACTAAATTTTTGCTTGCACATGAGAGGCGCCATGCCATCCAAACGAGGTGCACTGCTGTCCTTCATAGCTGGAGAACCTAACAACGTACCACACGCAGCAACACATTTATAGCGGGGACCGTTTTGACAATAAATGTCATAGGGTACTTCTGTGATTAAACCTGAAAAACGCATCGGAACGCCATTGTTCCAATGAAAAGACTAAGTGTATGCTCAAAACAGCTTTGATATGCTACATTTCGAGCATTTGGTTATGTTTAAACGCCCATCGCTTGCATTCGCGTGTAGCAGCAGCCCCACATCTCTTCCTCTAACTTCGCCTTCAGTACCACCCCGTGTACAGCCCAGGTTTTTCAAGATCGCAAGTCTAAGCGTTGCTTAAGAACTTCCATCATGGGCTTCAGCTGCTAAAAATAGCAGCTGTGACAAAAGATGATGCTTTGAAAGAGTTGAACCAGAAAAGCGCAGAAAAACTGATGTAATGAAATGGAAACCAGGAGACCACTTCAAAATAACAGCCAAGGCTGTCGTGTTTTCTGTCGTCCGTCCAGTTCTAGCTCCTCTATCTTCGCCATCTGCTGCCAATCGATTTTTCCCCGATCTCTGCCCCCTCTCTCCTTTCCGCGCGCCTCCTTTGAGGACGTCGCTCGACTAAGCGCTAAATCTGTGGCGCTCTGCCGGGACCGCAGCGACTGCTATTGTTACGGGAAAGTGGGCTGTAGTCGCGACGGTCGGCGCCGGCCCCGCCGACGCCACGGTCACCTCACCTTGCTGGTGACGAGGTCGGCCGCCTGCTGCAGGCTGTCGGCCACGATGCCGGTGATGTCACCCTGGACGTCCTCCAGCTCCTGCCGGCCACAGCGAGAGCAGCGGCGGTCGGTGGTCAGCGTCTGGTGTACAGCAGGCCTGATTACGCAGCCTGGTAGTCACCATTGTGCAGCTGGTGCCACTGAAATCATACTGTTGGGCTTTCCTTTCAATGCAGTAAATTTATGTCTTCGCCTTATTTTCACTCAGCTTCTTTGTAATGCCGCGCTTTCGATTCTATGCGTGGCGAAACACCTCACCCGGCGCAGGACGATTGAAGCGGTAACAGCTCTGAGAACTGTCCGCTCTTATCGAGTAGATGATGTCCTAAACTAGCTATGAGCCAAGTCAATCTTGAACTAAAACCAAAGTGATTTGTCCAAGACGTTATGAGTAGCCTCATGATAATGCAA